GCATTGAATTTGAGTTAAGGATTGACTTTTGCAAAATCTTTTACGAAATATCCTTTGTTGGCCTGCAAAGCAAAGCTCAAGTGGCGGTAGGTAGTTTAGGTCATGGAGCGCTTGAATTGTTGCCACATTCCAGGTTTTGTCGGCGGAGTGATAGCCAATATACAGCTCGCGGATTCATGCATACATACATACGTCTGTATTCATATGCATTATAACACTGTTAGAATATCAATGTTTGAGAATGAGAAATGTGCAATTTCAATAAGGGGCCGCCCGCAGTATTGGCGACTGCATGACAACTGTCGAAATCAGAAACATCAACTAAAATTTGTAGCCAAGTGAACAGAAAAACGGCTGCAGACTAAAGAGTTAAATTGCGCAAACAAAAGATTGCTTAGAATTGGCTAGTTGTGGGGGAGAGCATAGTACTACTGGCAAGGTTTACTGCATAAATACACCCGCTAGGAAAATAGGTAAGTACCTTGCGAAGTAATTCATGTTTTCTTTCAGCTTTCAGTACCAAAATTGTCATCATTACCAATGTCATCTATTAGTATAGCACAAAATAAATATTATTTCCTACTTACGTATGACGGTCACACTTTCGTTTAAGTAAGAGTAATTAAAAGCATCAAAATAAACTTTGTGCAAAACTCGGAAAATTTCAATAAACATGCATACAAATTTGCCTTTTGCTAATCAAAATTTTTATAAAAATATTGAAAATGAAGTTTTGTAGCCCCAAATATTAGTTGATTATATACAAGGTGTATTAAACAAGGTGGTGTTAGGGCGACAGCTGAGTTTTTCGTCGTGGAGGCCATTACGTCAAAATGATGTGTTTGTTGTAACTCATACCAATGACAGTCAGTGTTGCCAAAACTTTTTGGGCCGACCGGCTAGATTGGCAAAAAAAGCGGCTAAAAACGGCTAAAATGTTTTAGTGAAAATTCCCATGCTTTATTTAAAAAATCGCAAGAAACGAAAGACTAGTTAACACCATTAATTTATATCGAGTGTATATTCCTCATCATCAAATGAATCACTATTGTAAATATCGCCTGAATTCATTAATTTTAAGAGATCGTCATCTACAGTAAAATTATGGCAGCATTTTTCTTCGCGTTTTAAACCGTATCTTATATATAAAATAGCGTTTAACGTTTTAACGCACATTGGATTTCTTTGCTTAGTTTTTATTATATTCATTGAACTAAATATTCGCTCTACTTCTGCATTACTTATAGGCAAAACAAGAAAACTAAAAACTAGGTTGGAAAGGTCAGTAAAAGGGTTTTCTCCTAGGGCATTTCGAAATTGATAAACTTCGACCCAAAATTTTACAGTTGAGTCTAAATTACTCCAGGTATGTAACGTTAACCGTTGCCATTGCATCTCTATGGATGTTATTTCGTCGGCATTATATTTGTGTTTTTGTTGCTGTAGTTGAACAAATACTTTTGGTTTAATTACTCTTAATGCATTTCCAACTGAAAAAAGTCAATTTTTTTAGTGTGGCAATATTTGTAGGGAGGCGTTGGCGTAATTCCTTTATTAAAGTGATAATAAAATAGCGACCATTTTCTCGAATTATTTTCTCGGCTTCGTGGTCAAAAGCGTTTGTGCTTACTTTTGTTTTTAAATACTCTTCAAAACTGTGATAAAACTGAGGAAATGGAGCAAGGTATGGTTCCAACGGGGAGCATATAGGATCAAATGTGTCCGCGCTAATAACCACTAGGGAGCATAGATGCGAAAGTAAAACATTGAGTTCATTAAAAATCTTCATTGGGTCTGCATTATTGCTTTCGAACAACTTGTTTACTTTTTGCACCTGAAAATTAGGCAAATAGTAAAATCGGCTAAAAACGGCTAACTTTTTTTTACAAACCGGCTAACAAATCGGCTGCCGGCTCGATCGTATTTTCTCCGGCTAGTTGCTATCAAAACCGGCTAAATCTAGCCGGAAAACGGCTAAAATGGCAACGCTGATGACAGTATGGATATCAGCGTATAATTTGTTAGTGTAATTTTTTACTTATATACGGCCAACACCACCTTGTTAAATACGCCTTGATTATAGATAATTTTTTTTATGCTGGCACTGTCTTCCATACAAACTATGTTCCACAATATTTTTTTGTATGGAAGACAGGTCCAGCAAAGAAAATTGCTAAAAATCAACGCGATTTTCTAGCAACTTCGGACTTGCACTTTATTAATTGCCTAAAAAGCTACATTTTCAACATTTTTCTAAAAGATCATATGAAAAATTCTCTGAACTAGTAGTTTTGTACGGCACTGTACTTATAAGTACACTAGGATTCATTAAAAAA